AAAAAAAAAAAAAAAAAAAAAAAAAAAAAAAAAAAAAAAAAAAAAAAATAAAAAAAAAAAAAAAAAAAAAAAAAAAAAAAAAAAAAAAAAAAAAAAAAAAAAAAAACAAAAAAAAAAAAAAAAACAAGGCAATGATGATGGCACTGGCGGTAATGGTGGCAGGTCGTGACCCGCTGTTTATCCATGTTTATCCTTCTCCCTGTTTCTCTTCTTGTTTCTGCTGTTGTGGCAACCTTTCCCGCCCCTGCTGCTGCTGCCGCCGCCGCCAATTCTGTGATCCGTGGTGCTGCTCGCCGAAACATTTAAAAGATGTCCAGCAAGTTGGAGACTGAGCAGCGTAGGCTAGCTAAAGCAACAAAGAAGCCAAACCAAGCAAGTACAGCAGAAACGCCACAGGGTAATCGTCACCGGGGTCGCAGTCCTGCAGCGTCGATCTCAAAGATCCTCTTCACCTTGTGCACATGTCAAGGAAGCCTAACGTTGTGCCAAGGGCTGCTTGCTCCCTCCCATATCCTCCCTTAAAACCCAGAAGGGCAAAGCATTCAAAAACAATGGGCCGTTTCATCTCTTTCGCCTGTGTTCCAAGGTCGGGCGCGTGAGCACAACGGCTCCGCGCGAAGAACCAGATGGATTGCCAGCGCTATTTACAATTTGTGCACAGCTATGCCTGAACCACTTACCTGAGAAAATGCCTTCATTGGGCGACGTGGCGTCTGACACTCTGCTGACTCAATTTGGCAAAGCTGCACATGTTTGCTCGCAGTTCGAAGACAAAGCCTCTTAATCTGTACAGGTGTGCTATCGCATGCAAACAAATTGCAGCACACGCTCTGGTGGGTGATCTCTGCAAACTAGAAGACTAGGAAAGGCTATCCTTCCAAGATGCCCCGTGGCTGGCCACATGATGCCAATGTTCACAAATGGCTCAATAGGATTCCTGCCAATTTTCCGCGGGCGGTCTGTCAATACCAATCATCATGTGGCTATTGGTTGGCATTCATCTGCCTTGCAACCATCACTGGACATAGATGTTCGCTGGATTGGGAAGCTGACACCCATACCCTCTCGGTTGGTAGCCGTGAGCATGAAACATGAGCAAATAAACGGTTCAGATATATTGTTCATTTAGACAGTGCTTAAGAGTGGAAGCAATAATCATTATGAATGGATCAGCGGGGGTGTCTCATCATCGTACTATTCATGACAAAATCCGGCACCAACGAAGATGGGGAAAATACTGGCAATAGTGCCGCACAAAGCGGCGGCAGAAGTTTTAAAGGTGATAGGAAGACTACGGGAAAACTCAGGAAAGCTTGCGGTTCGATGCAGAATGTAGTAGATGCAGCATGGCTCGGAACTTCATGGCCCATCTGTGTGTCTGCCCAGCTATCCACCTATTTGTCTGTCTATCCATCGGCTTATCTACTGATTTTGGTATTTAGTTGTCCTACTGTTTAGCTCTGTCTATCTGTCCAGCTGTCTACTTGTCTATCTGTCTACACTATGCGTAAGCTCTGCCTATCTTTCTAGCGAAGGATCTACCCAGCTGCCTGTCCGACTATCGATCTGTAGTAACTGTATCTATATTCTATCTACCTACCTGACAATCTGTCTATCGTTTTGACTATCTATCTCTGGATCTTGTCTATCTTTAATCTGATTGTTTGACTACATATCTGTCTATCTCTGTCCATCTAACTAGCTATCTGTTGATCTGGCTACCTGTCTCTCTATCTATCTAGTGGTCTAACTATCTGTCTATCGCGTTCTCTATAAGTAATCTTTCTGGCTTTTTCTGCTTCTATCTCCGTATCTAGCTCTCTATCTTTCTGTCCATCTAATGGTCTTTGTGATGCATCGCACCACAAGTGGGAAGTTGGACTTTTACACTTTTCAATGATAACCTAGACATGTTGATATGTTTGTGTGCACCCATGGCTGTTGCTTGTGAACATCACACCGTTCACCCCAACTGCAACAGAGTACCCCGTAACTACCCCGTAAACCCTGCGAACTCTCCGTCCTCACAGCTGCCCTTTGTCATCTGGCATCGCTCTAGCTTCAGCTGGGCGCCGCAACAGCCGCTGCGAGTGATCAGAAGACACGCTCGAATGCGACACGCCAGGTTTTCATTGGTTAATTGCGGTATATCGTTTACGGTGTATAGTTCATGGTACAATCAACAGCCCACATTCTTTACTACTGTAGCGGCAGCACGAAATTCGCTGGCGACTCTGCTTTTTGTTGTCTTGAGGAATCATTGATCCTGGGTCTGATGGTCATGCTATATCATTATATAGCAATAGTTGGATTTTGATTCTAATTTGGTTGACCAGCGTTGATGGCTCTCATTGTTCCTATCATGGCGGCGGTTGCCTTTGCATTTCTTCACCCCCCAGGCTGTAAGGGGCAATGCCTCTCACGGACATCTCCACAGGGGAGACGTTGCCCTTCACTGCTTGCAGTGGTTAAAACTGTGGTGAAACATGGAACTTGGCACCTTTATCCTGCACAAAAATCGGACTTCAGGGCACAAACTGGGTAATTACCAAATGACCCAGAAATCTGTGTCATGCTTTCGCTTGCCATGCTTTGGACATGTAGAGTTTGACCCTTAGTCACTTGGCCCCGGGTCACCTCTTGCTTTCTGTGGCAAGAACGCCCTGCTGTTCAAGTTCGCGAATTAATCCGAAAAACGGGAGAGCGCTGAAAGTATGGCAATGAGTTAAAGACCTAGCATTCATTCACAGAAAAGCCAAGCTGTTCAGGTGTTCATCAACGCCCAACGCAGCTTTAGATATGACCCACTGTCATATGACAACAGGACCTGCCATCTGTGTTTCTTGAATGGAAGATCCCACATGTCAGATCTTGAAACAATAGATCCGTATGATTGCCAACAAAATAGGTGGTAAAACAAAATGACAAGAAAAAATGCCATAGAAATAACAACCAACGCAATCAATGCGGTGACCTAATACGGTTGCATGGTTGGCCCACCTGTTCATTCTATATTTCAAGCTGCTATTTTGATCGGATCTGTCAATGACCATCCGTTGATTCGCGTCACTTCCCCGCGAAGACAGCGAGCGCTGGGGCAAACTTCCTCCAGGGTTGTGTTGCGGCTGACACCCTGTCGACATAGTTGAAAATTGAAGATACACATGCTGGTGCATGGAGTTTGCTTTAGTACATCCAGCACAAACGGTTTCCTGCCTTTGGATATTCACCTGTGACACGCCATCAAGCTGCTATCAAACATCCTCACAACCCGCCATGGATGACAGGCTTCCCCATCACTCCTGGCGAAATGAGTTCCACTTGTTTCTCCAAGCTGTGCTGGATGATGACTTCAGGTCGTGCGCGGCCGTTTGCTTTGTCCAGGCCAGTTCCACTCCTAAAGGTAAGCTGGAATTGGCCAAATGGGAGTGTGAAGCAGCAGCTATGGTGATCGACGATGACGACGACGCCGGCGACGCCGGCGACGGCGACGACCACGACGACCACGACTATCTGAAAGACAACGACGACAAGACCAAAACAAGGACCAAACAAAAAAACACAACATAACCACAACAACAACAACAAAAACGATCGAAAGAGCTTAGTAGCATCAAGTCACGCTAGCATTCACTACTTGCTAGTCCAAAGACAAAGGTGAATTTGCAGTGGGTTAATCGTAATTGTCCCCAAAACAGGGTGAGCGAACATCCCAACAAAAACTGTTCTGTTCATTGTTGGGATGCTCAGCAAGGGGTACGGGATTTTTGACCCATGCTCATTCTCTCGATCTAAAGATGCCTCTTAAACCATGGCATAATTAGTTCTTGTAGGTCCTTGCAACATGGACCAGACCCAGATCCCAAACCAACTAACAAATCATCCAGAATTGAGGTCTCAATCTCCAAGTGCAACAGAAGTTGGGAAGACCAACAGGCTCAACCATTGATGACCCTTGGATGATTATCTTTGATGAGCCAGCCAGCATTAATCTACAGCCAGCTGGGAAACCCATGCAGCTCCTTGAAGTCGCAGAAGTCCCTCTTGGATCCACAGCGGAAATATCTCTCGCCATTCTTCTTGCGCGCCACGCCTGCTGCTCGTCCACAATGGCACTGAGGTAACATGTGGATGAAACCGCATCCGGACTCAGCACCATTGTGACAGAAGAGGATCTCCCTTCCAAAGTTCTCAGGTTGTCCATTGGTCACAGTTCTGCGCACTGCAGCTTGCCCGCAGTTGCAGTAGTGCTGAACCCGTTTCAAGGCCACCAAAAAATCAATGCTCAGCGCTGCAGGATCAAAGATAACAAACCTGCATGGTGGTTCCAAACCATTCTAGAAATATGGGCTGGCTAAGGTTGATCATTCCTAGGTGAAATTGGGATTCCAGACTTGAAACGATGCAGCAAACACATGCTGAAGCCGGCAACCAGAAACTCACGGAAACGTTGGATCTTGCCTCCCATGCCTCAAGGCCTCATTGCCTCCATCCACAAAGATGCGTTCCTTGGTCTTGGCACAAGTCTTCCCATCCTTGGTGATGGCGGCAGCTCCTAGAGCTGCGCGGCAGACCAAGGCATAGTAGACATGAGCGGCGTGCTTCACGCCCACTTCATAGAGTTTCTTGTGCAGATTATGGAGCTCATGATCAGGCTTGTTGC